ACAGGTTCGGGGTTAGGAGGTTCTGAATCCATCCAAGAATAATGGGTCACATTTCATATTTCTGCTCATGACCACACATTCTTAAATTTATAACTGATTCTAAATCAGAAATATAAATGCCTTCAGATGTGTAGGTGCACAGAGTTCTGTGTAACTGAGCATCTCTGTCTCCTTTTTTTTTTTTGTACATATCTAGAGCTTTTGAACATAAAAGAAGCTAACACTTAAAGGGATTTTACTGCTAGAATACTCTAAATACTAGATTACGTCCTTAATACTATGCTACCCTGCTGCTTGCAGGACCATTTACACCTGTAGAAAATAAATATTATGTGGATTTAAAACAAATAAACGAAAACCCTACCTACCAAATCAGAAACACCATGTTTCATATGAATTTTACAGAGATACAGATGGTATAGGCCAAATGGAAACAAGTCCAGAGGCAGCACTCTAGGTTCAGATAGCTTGTACAAGGAAACTGATTCCTGCACATATCTCAAATAAAAGAAGTGGAAGCCTAAAAAGTTTACAATAAAATACGGCAGTATTGGGATGTCAGTTGTGTGTTCAACACAAAGAAGAATGAAGATGATGAATGTATTCACAGAAAAGAAAGACTTTTTCCTAAAATATGAAACTTGCTTTCAGGTAAAACACAACCATATGAATGTGCTTACAAGTGCAGGTAAAAAATACAGGAATTTACTTTTAAATTTCAATCCTTGCTGCAACTTTTTTATTATACCAATACTGACCTGTAGGTGACATCTGAACTTATTTTCTGACATCCTCTGTTAAAAAAAAGACTATACTATTATGACAAATGATTTGCATTCAGATATATCAGATACATATTTACATATTGTACCTTTTGCAGTCTGCTGGCTTCATAAGGTCAAAAAAGCATTAAATATCGTTGTTCAGTTGCTCACTGTAATGTCCTAGCATGAACACTGTGAAACAAGGGCACTGAGCAACCAGTGACACAACATAGTAGGCCAGCCATCCCAGTGACTCTAGGGGAAATAACACTCTTCTGTGCCCTTGATGATGAGCTCCAGTTGCCCTGTAAGTATACAAACATTACTTAAACAAGCTACTTGGTTAATCCAGATCACATCTATATATTTTTATGTCCAAAAATATATGCTACACAGGGACAGGAAAATCCAGCAATATCCCTTTAATTGTAAGATAGCTTTGACTACAAAGCCTTTACATCAGGTAATGCCTGAGGAATCGAAAATTTAGGACATGCCTAAACACTGACAAGTCACAGAAGTAGCCTGGCTTCAGCCACAGGGAAGATTATAAACAAATAGAGCGAAAGTTTACAGAAAAAATATATTGATTTTCAAGTCCCACATCCAGTGTAGTTGCTTCATTTCTAATCATGGTTTACTCCGACTGCTAAAAATCTTAAACGGAAAGATTGCATGCACAAAGAAATAACCTTTTCATAGGTAAGAAGCGTCTGCTCTTTTGCTAAACTCCTCTTGTCCAATTTTTGAGACACAAGTCAAACAATAAGAGCCACCCCTCCACAACATATTTCCACATAAAAACTCTTTGCTGCAACATAGATAGTAATTTGCCCAATTTTTACAGCCTGTAAATCACTGTTTACTCTTTTAACATCAACTGATGTCAGGGAGGCATATACTACCACGATGTATTAGTTACAAACTTTCTAATGACTATCATGTGGGTTTTTCTACCTTAAGTTAAAAGCAGACTTTGTTTTACTTTATTTAATAAACTGCCAGAGAAAACAACAACAAAGACGACAGGTACACAATACCAAAAGCAATACCAAAATATTTGCAGATATCATTAGATTTCTAGAGTAGGAAGAATGTAACAAGACATGTAAAGGTCAAAATCAGGAGCATTTGTACTTTTGTACACGGATGTTGTGCCATACAAGAAAGTAGTATGGAGAAGGACATTTTTGGAGCTTCATTCTTTTTAATCAGAACAGAGATTCGAAGCTCAGGCTAAAGCTCACATTTGCAAATTTTGCAATGAAATCCTTAGAGTGGACCAAAGACATTCATTAGGGTGAAAGTGGAAAAAACACCATTCTGTTTCACTACCACTGCTCTGAACTGTACTATCATTAACCATCTTTCCTAATAAACAGCAGGGGAGCTATAGCTTTATCCCCTATAAAACCAAAGTCATCTTTAAACTAGCAGGCAGTGCAAACAATGCTCCTGAAATCACAGAAATAATTCATCAGTCTTTCATGATATGCTCTTTATTACTGATAAAGTGATGACTATTGAAATTAGTTCCATTATAAAATTACATTTTTGCAATAGTTTTCATTAGTAAAACAAATTCAATTGCATATAACCTGACTCCATACTCCAGGATAGATGTTTCCAGCAACTAAATGTTTATCAAAATTCTGTAGCATGAGTAGTTACAATACCAAATTGAGGACAGCAGTTAATAAACAAGGAAGGGTTGCTATTCAGATGGAACTTGATAGGCTGAGAAATGGGCTGACAGAAACCTCCTAACATTACAAAGGGCATTCAGCATCTTGCATCTGAGATGAAATAACTCCATGCAATAATACATCTGGGCATCAACTGGCTAGAAAACACTTTGCAGAAAAGGACCTGGCAGTTCTCATTGACAAGTCAAACATAAGTCAGCAGTTGTCCCTTGCAATGCCCCTTGTAAGTCCCTTGCAATGAAGAAGGCCAATCACATACTGGACTGAATTAGCAAGCCTGTAGTTAGCATGTTAATGGAAAGTGACTGCCGCCTTTATTCCTCTATATTCCACTATTGTGAGGCTGCAATATGAGCATCGTGCGCAGTTTTGGCCTCCCCGATACAAGAAAAACGTTGTCATGCTGGAATAAGTCCAGAGAAGGCCCCAAGACTACAGGGTTCAAGCACAGGACTGACTAGGAGAGGCTGAGAGAATTGGTTCTGCTCAGTCTTAAGAAGAGAAGGCTAAGGGGGGAAATCTCATTACTGACTACAACTACCTAATAGGAGGGTAACAGAAGAGAATAAGTCAGACTATTCTTGGACATGCGCAGTGACAGGACAAGAGGCAACAGATACAAATTACAAGGGAAATTCTTATTAGATACTAGGTAAAAAGCTTACACAAGGGTAGTCAAATATCAGAACAGGTTGCTCACAAAGACTGTGGAATCTCTTTTCTTGGAGATATTCAGAACTTGCCAGGACAGGGCCTTGAGCGACTTGACCCAGTTGCCTGGGCTTTGAGTGAGGGACCAGGTAACTCCTACAGGTCCCTTTCAACCTCAGTTATTCTGTTATTCTATTGTACTGCCTAGTTCATGATACAGGTATATGAAGAAAACCATAATAACTGTCAAGGCGAATTTTAAAAATTTCTCATGACTCTTTAAACTATATTATAATGGATATAAGATACTTCACTATGCTTACATTTCAACAGACAATATGTAGTACCATTGAGAATTTATTTAAAAATACAAAACAACTATATAGAGATCTATAAATAGTGCATACACCAACTCTAGTCCATTATCACAACCTGTTTCCAGAAATTAGCTTTTGCTAAATTGCACATAGGGATATACTAGACCCAAAAAGATAGATGAGGTAGAAAAAATACATCGCATATTAAAAAAAAGTTTGCACAACATCCGTTATGTCAGGTCACTATCAGGTTAGGTCTAAAGTGAATGTTGTCCTAAATAGATGCACCAAACTGGTGTAGCATTAATATTATAAGCATGCATAGGGTTTTACACTCCACAAGGTCTAAGGCAAAAAATTTTCCTCTGAGGATTCACAGAAAATAGATTTGAAATTTGCATTTTTAAACCACTCTACTACTAATAATATAGAATGTTACATTTTAAAAGCACTTTACATTAACAAGTTAATCTTTCACATACTGTTACGGAGACATAGTCTTTCTATTCTGGATAGGGTATACTTAACACAATTATTTTAAAGAAACATGGATTACAGTCTAAAATTTTCTGCTCCTGTTTGTAGGATGGCCATTTCATTTCTGACTAACTTAATCTACCAAAACAATGCAATTAGTACTTCCTGCTTACTTATCCCAGAAACAAATCTCCCGGAATCAAAATGAAGGACAATTCTTCATCCTCCAGACAATTAAGAAAATTGTTTTCTGGAGAAGTGAGAGACCAGGAAACAGACCCAAATCCAACACTCTGACAGGCCTCTTTGTAGCTTCTTCCAGGTAGGATTTGCTGAAGCTTCTTGCAAATATGTTTTATCCATTTGGTCCTGAAACTGTCTGATCTCAGTATCAGTTTCTTTTAATAGACTAGTCTGAAAAATAGAGCCATTAATATGCTAATTCACAGAAAAATTGAACAACCTACCTCAGATATGGTAAACATCTTTCAGAAAGGTGCTTGAAGTATCTCATTATAACTGCTGTTTATGTCTCAAAATCCCTAAGTAGGGTATACTAGCCTGCATGGCCACCCACACTAACAAAGTTATACTATTTCTAGTACTAGTCTACTTTCTTTAGAGGTAGCTTGGATGTATTTACATTACACAATATCATGCAAGATTTATCCAAATTAAAAAACATAAAAAGATTGCAATTTAATATCAGAAGTTGACATCACATTATTCTTTTTTAACAATGAAAGTTCCTTACCATATTTTGATTGCAGTACTTACACAAGCTCTCATTTGAGCTATTGTAGATTAGATGACATTTTTGGCATTTTTAATGTATTAGCAGTACAAAAATATTGACCACAATTATAACTCGAATATCATCTTTCACTGCTTGCACATAGCAAAGGGTAAGCGATGATGATGTTTTAGAAGAATGGCATATTCTCCCCTAGAAATAAAACTATATTCTCTCTGAAATTTTTCAGTTTTTCCTTTGTGGGACATATAAAAACAAGGAGGAACTCTAATGCTGTAAAATTAAGTCCTACCTGACCTCTTATGGCTGGATTGAAGTCTACATTCAAAAATCAAAACACTGTAACAGAAATGACTGAAACCACAGTAGTCAAGAGAATGACAAGCCAAATATTCACCTGGATCAGAGAATTATAGACATTTCCTGTTAATAAAAGAAAACAAAATATATTTATTAGAAGCAGAAAAACGACATCAGTAGATTGAATTTTTAGTGTGCATTAAATTACATTTTTCTTTAGATTAACCTGTTTTTTCTATTACAAAAGCATGGAAATTTTTTCTAGATGTACAAGAACATATTCATGAAATAAAATAATTGGATAAAACCTAAAACTTGAAATAATACAAAATATGAATAATTTAAATTAGTACCTGCACTCTTTAGGAGAGAAAGCACCTGCTTGCACTGTTGCATGTATGGATTGACTTTAAGTAATGTATTTGGCTTTGCCTAACTTTATACATCATTCAGCCATGAAACTGATAAAGGTTTTCAGGTATGACTACTTGAACTACTGAAGTTGTTTCTATTCATTGGAGATTCTAGGGGACAGGTTTTTAAGAGTAGGAATGTTAAACGGCTGAATACAAACAAAGAAAACAACTAATACAAGGCTGAAATTCACTTACGAAGATTTTTGTCTCAAATTGGATAATTATAGATAATCTTCTAGAAGATTTTTCTTGTCAATTCCAACCACTTCACATTATCAAGTTCTAGCTGGTTCCACCTGTTTTTGTTGGCAAAATCAAATTTATTTGAAACCAATGAGTTCCCTGTTGCTTAGAACGTCCAGCCAGTACTAGAAAACAGAAGTTCCTCTTGTAGCTTATGTCTAGCTGCTAAAATTGCTTTGAAATTTATTCAGTCATCATCCAACTGTCTTAAAACACTTCTGAGATTTAATAAATACAGGATGGCTTCAACTACATGCATCCACTGCAGTCACTATATCCTCACAGCAAATCCTTATGACTTCATTATACATGGGGTTTTACGGATTCCTGAAAGGATAGTCTCGGCCAGTGTCCTCAATTTTAATAATGGCAGGAAAGAAAACTATAAGAGTAAAATTTAATTATACTGAGTCATTTAGCTCTGCATATTATCAATTAGCTGGGATATTTTTGTAAACCTAGAAGAAAAGTTAATACTACTCAGCCAAAATCAATTGAGCAAAGTTTATCTTCCAAGCTTACACACAACTGTTTTCTGCATTGTTAATACTGTGATTATTTGTAAGTTCTCTCTCTACTGTTTGTCATAACACACATACATAAATACTGTGTACATACATATGTTTGGTAAAAAAGAAAAACAAAAATACTCACCTACAAAAGGGCAGTGGCTTAAAAATCAGTGTACCAAAAATCTCATTACTGTGCTTTGCAAATAAAATAGCAAAATACACTGCTATGCCGCCCTAGATGAAGAAATGATTGATAGTAGTCCAGTAACTGGTATCCAAGACTATCTACAAATAAAATAAGGTTAATAAATGACACAGGAATTTTGATGGAAGCATTCCCTACAGTGGTCCCAACGTCACCTATATAAAGGGTGAAAAGGAGAGAAAGCTCATTTGAAAAAAACTGTGTGAGAGAGAAAATTACATTCATGAGGAACTAAAAAGCGTTTGGAGTACAGGAAACCTTCACAATAAGGATGTGAAAAAAAGAAATAAGTTTTTGGCACTAAAGAAACCAAAAGCAAGATTTTGAACGATAAATCTGTGGAACGCTGACAGGCAGAGAAAGATACACTGTTCAGGACAAGACATCCTCTTTGGGTGAAGTAACTATTTTGCATTCTCAGAAAAAACAGAAAAAAGAGACACTGACAAAACTCCAGTGATAAAGAGCAAAGATCAGTATGAACAAATAAAGTCTTATTTAAAATAACAGAAAGAAATAGATATAGGATCAAAGGTAGGCATCTTTCTATAAAAGCACTAGAACTATAAAAGAAAAGTAAGAGAAGAAACAAAACGATTATTTTTAAAACAGGATATTGACACAAAAGGCACACCAGAAACTTTATATAAGAAAAATGGAGGGATACTATAAAACTAAGCTTCAAAGTACAAAAGGAAAATAGAAATAACCTCAAAGCTCAAAAACTAGTTCTGTATGCTACAGAAAGTTAGGAGCCCCTGTCTCCTTGGAACATAATGCTGAAACTAAAATTTTAGATTCTAGAAATGGTTGCTATATGGAAGAGGTAACTGAGAAACCTAGAAGACATAAGTGATTCCTGACTTTGTCCGAGCAACATACAGAATTTGGTTCAAAAATGCTACAACTGAGAGCTATTTTTTAATACCCTTTTAGGAACTAAAAGAAAAACTTGCTAAGAGATGCTAAAGAAAGGTCATCTCATAGTCTGATGCTGAAAGAGCAGAAATAAACAGTTTTCACTAAAAGGAAATTTGACAACAGTATCCCATTGGGATCTGTTCTGCGTTGTTTAACAAATTTATGACTAATTTAGGAATAAGGATGAACAGTGAGGTGACAGGAGTCACTGGTTATGTTATTCTGGATCAAAGCGATAAACAGCAGAGAATATCTTGTTACAGAATGACTAGGCTATGAAATTGAATATGAAATTCAATGTTGATAAGTGTAGAGGGATACTACCACCCAAGAAAGATCTTGGATTTATGTAAGTAGTTTTATGAAAACTTCAACTCAATTTCAATCAGAAAGAAGAACAAAAAGAAAATAGAATTACAGGAATTATTGGTAAAGGAATATAGAACAAAATGCAAAACATCACTGTGCCACAACATATATTCATGGTGCACCTGAGTGCTGGATAATATATGAAGTTCTGGTTTCCACCCTTTCTTCCCCTCTCTGCTCCCCCTCCCCCAAAAGCATACATAGAACTAAGAAAGGGATGAAGAATGACAAGATGGTAAATGACTTTTGCATAAGAGAAACCTCAATATATCAAAATATATTCCTCTAAATGGACAGGCTAATATTTCTAAGAAACAGCTCTAAATGCTATACATTTCTGGGATGGTTGTGTGTTTTATAACCTCTATAAAATAATGTAAATTTAGCAGTCAAGATGCAAATGATATCTCACGTCTGATTTTGTACTGTTTTGCATGTTTTTGCAAAGAAATGGTAATTATTTCAGAATGATTTCCCATAAAAACAAACAAATCTAAGAAACCAAGAAGGCTAAAACTCAGAACTTGTGGGGAAATTCAAGAACCAAGTATGTTTACAAAATAAATGCAAAAAAGCAATACAAATTAAATACATATGGACCCCAAAACCATTCTTCAATGTGATTCTATTGCTGATGCTAAAAATAAAATAAAAATTACATATTGCAGCCAAGACTGATCATAGACAAAGCAGTCATTGATACATTTTCTCTGAGGAACTTCCTGAAATATTTGTGGTAAAGAATTGAACAATTATCAGTTTTGCTAGAGGTTTTTATGAGATTTGGTGCATATTTCAAAAGCCCCAAGTGAACCCAAAGCTCAGAAGACAGAATCATACTAACCAACAGTGAAAAAATTATTTTACATGTATGTTATAAAAATCAACAAATTCTGCAGGGTTTTCTTAATAAGGAAAAAATTGCATTCTATACAGATAGCCAATTGTACAGGACATGCCATCCTTGGTACTAACATATAGGAGAATGGAATAAGTCCTAAAATGTATAAGAAGCATACGGTACCTTGGAACATTTGCAACGATTAGGAAGAATGATTTTGTCATTTATTTATAGTTTGGAAGGCTGGAAGACTGGAATTTTACTCAGCTTTTGCCACACATTTTTCTGAGTCACCCTTGACAACTCGCTTGATCACTCCAGATTTTTTGTTTTCTGTCTATAAAATGTAGTTCATACCAAAACAGCATTGCAAGAATAAATATTCATAACACTGGCTGAGATTTTAAAAGGTAGGTACCATATTAATATAATTCTGTTCTATAATGACCTTTTAAACTTACATTACCCAATAATGAATATAGCATGTAGAAGTGCATCTTGATTTAATCTTTACTAATGGTTCACCAACATTTGAAAGTTTAATCATAACATGGCTACATGCATCATCATAACTTTCTCTATCAAAAACATGTTCCCACTTTTATAATTGTTGGAATTATAGCTCACATGTATGGTACATAGTACACTGCAAGCTTGCGACTACATCTATCTGCCTCTGCCTCATCCCTCTCCTTCCCTCTCCCTCATATCAAATTGGAGTCAAAGAAAAAAAAACTAATCCTAGAAGTCCCCAAAGTTAGCGTCGCCAGGTCCCCGCTGGCAGCAAATCCTCACAATATGCAAAAGGAATCACAGAATGGCTGAGGTTGGGAAGGACCTCTGCAGATCATCTAGTCCAACCTCCCTGCTCAAGCAGGGACCTCTAGAGCATATTGCCCAGGATCACATCCAGACGGGCTTTGAATATCTCCAGGGAAGGAGACTCCACTACCTCTCGGGGCAACCTTGTCCAGTGCTCAGCCACCCTCACAGTGAAGAAGTTTTTTCTCAGGTTCAGATGGAACTTCCCGTGGTTCAGTTTCTGCCCATTGCCTCTTGTCCTGTTGCTGGGCTCCACGGAGAAGAGACTGGCCTCATCCTCTCGACACCCCCCCTTCAGATACTTATACACTTTGATCAGATCACCTCTCAGTCTTCTCTTCTCCAGGCTGAACAGGCCCAGCTCCCTCAGCCTTTCTTCAGAGGAGAGATGCTCCAGTCCCCTAATCATCTTTGTAGCCCTCCGCTGGACTCTCTCCACTACTGCCAGGTCTCTCTTGTACTGGGGAGCCCAGAATTGGACATAGTACTCCAGGTGTGGCCTCACCAGGGCTGAGTAGAGGGGCAGGATCACCTCCCTCGACCTGCTGCCAACACTCTGCCTAATGCACCCCAGGATCCCATCGGCCTTCTTGGCCACCAGGCCACACTGCTGGCTCATGCTTCACTTGTTGTCCACCAGGACTCCCAGGCCCTACTCTGCAGAGCTGCTCTCCAGCAGGTCAACCCCCAGCCTGTCCTGCTGCATGGGGTTCTTCTTCCCCAGGGGCAGGACCTTGCACTTGCCTTTGTTGAACTTCAGGAGGTTCCCCTCCACCCACCTCTCCAGCCTGTCCAGGTCCCTCTGAATGGG